AGCCTGTGGCAAGCTAGGCCAGCAGTGCCGGCTGGGCCGGCGAGGCTAGATAGGCGAATGCTTGTGGGAGCATGGTGGGGGAAAACCCGGCCGGCACCTAATAGAAATGATAAAGCCCGGCCGGCCTGGCCCACACAGAACTCTGCGGTCAGGGCATCGACAACCACCTTGTGCGTTGCCGCGCCCGTATACCACACTCGTGACAAGAACGTAGGATTGAAACAAAAGTTACATGCAAGAGCAACTAAGAAATTGATTAAGTATTAGAGAAAAGAAGACAATTAGTCGTTAGTTATGTTCACTGAATAGATGCAACATATTCAATGAAATAACTAACAACTTTATAAATTACAGAGTAGCTAAAATTATAAACAATGGGAAGAGAATTAGAGTTGAACTTAATCGTTCATTTTTAAGTTCACCTGCTCCTAGAAGAATTTCAATGAGTCAATGGGACGAACTTCGGTAGTCGAAGATAGAAACACTTGACCCGCAGCAGCTGATGTTTGGAGCCATTGACAGTCATGGCCATGTGTTTGCCCTTCGTGCCAAACTTCGGCACATCGTTCAGTTAATCGTTTAGTGTTAATGCGGTAATTAAAAGATCTGTATCTCTGTTCAGTCTATTAGTTTCCTCACTAGATCTATAGATGTTATAAAGGTTCGGGCTTAAAATTGCGCCTTGCGGTAGCCCGACTTTCCATGGGATCTTGAGAGATTCACCGTATTTTCTCACTATCTTGGCCGTTCTATTTTTTAGACAATTGAAAATATAGTTTCTCATCCGGTTGGGCATACCTATGTGAGTCATACTACCACATTTTGTTGAAGATTCTAATATTTATATTGCCGTATGCATTTTAAATTCTGTAATTTATTCTATTCTCTTTTTCCCATGTCTTCTTCCGCCTTTTTACCTCTCTCTTTTTTAAAGATCACTGTTATAGACTTGTCTGTGTTTAGGATTCTTTAATTTCTCTAAATATCTTTTCAATCTTTTCATCATTCCCTTCATCTCTTCCGGGTTGTCTGCTAATATTAGTCGTTCACATAAGTCAATGTCTACAATTTTTCTGGAATAATCTAGAGATCGCCCACGTGGTGTTACAGGTTACAAAAGACTTTCTTTATCCAGACTAGTTTGTAACAGTGCAGTATTGAGAAAAGAGTATATTTAACTTTTACAGTAAAGAAAATAAAATAACTTATTGATCCATTCATCTAAGGTACAAAATATACTTCGTTATAATATTCAATTATAAAAGAAACTTCTTTCTCTCAACGTATTCGACTAACCGACTTGCCTTCACAAAGGATAACAGGCAAGATACGAAGAGCCTGCGTAGGGCCTACGCCGTAGGCACGCCTTCGTCTTCATACTGTACACACACCGACATTCACATACATACGTACATACAGCGCAAATAATTTATCCTTAACACTATTACTATTCCACCCGCAATTTTTATTACATTGTTGTTTGCTTAAAAATTAATTTTCAGAATTCTTCCGAATTTGCTTACGAGGACGGAAACCCTCAAAACATTTCTAATCGTGGAATTAATACACCCAATTTTGTTTCCTCGGGATTATCCACTCTTTGCGAAGTACATCGCGATGCACAAAGACTCTACTGCCAAACGTGTAGCAAGCCGCTTTGTGGTGAATGTGGAGTTCAAAATCACTACGGACATGTGATAATGGATTTCATGGTGGCTTTAGAAGATGCGGAAATCCAGTCGAAGGAAATATCAAAGGAAGCCGCGCTTGCAATTGACGCACTTAAGGAAGAACTGGATGTTGTAGAGGTAATTCGAAAAATTTACGAAGTTTTAAAAGAGAATTACATTTCTGAAATTAATTTACTAATGCATTTTGTATTAAATATATGAGGGGGTTATAGTGGTGTAAATCTTCAAAATGACAAGTTTCAGAAATTATGTATTAAATATTTTAATTTTGTTCACGTGACAGTTTCTGTTTACTAGCTCTTGTTTTTTATAATTTTATATATGATTTGAAATTAGTAAGTAGAAATTGTAACGGGAACAGAAATTGGAATATTTACTAAATAGCAATCCTATTAACATGCCTACATTGTGCTGCTATTGCATTAGTCTGCAAGGGATATGATTTGGAACTTACATCATGTTCTCTTAGAATATGTTAGCATTTGTAGCACAAGAAAGCAATGCAAATCATGACTTGGCCAAAACGCGACTTACAGCATTTCTTTATATTACTTTGCTATCAATAATTAATGAACCACGTCCTTAAGAATCCATAGTGGTATACAGGGTGGGGCAATAACTTTTACTACCTCAAATATTTTCTAAACTATAAGTTTTACAAAAATATTTCTTAGAACAAAATTGTACAGTGCGAAGGAGGCCGTCCAGTGGGGATAATAGTTCTTCAACAGGTGGAGGTACTTCGGACATTTGAGGGTCACCACCATTTTTTTAAATGGGTCGGTATATTTTTGCTTTCGTATCATGATACAGAATCCTAAAATGAATTCAACGACCTATAACACAAGGACATTGAAGGTCATATAAAGTGGAAAAAGGCAATAATACTTACGGTTTTTGTAATAGATAAATCATGCGGCTATCATAAACAGTAGAGGCATTTTCTGTCTCTCTCTCTTTTTCTACAATCTTTGTTCTCGTTCTAAACTGCTCTAAACAGAAGAGATTATAAACAGAGAGAGACACAAAGAGCAGAGTAGAGAACAGTAAACAGTAGAGAGAGAAACAAGAGAGCAGGACACTTAAATTATAAGTTTGTAGAGTAAGATAAACATGACAAGATTAGTATCGATAAGTCAGTCAATCCGGCACGATGTATTCGTTTGAAGAGCAAGTCGATATGATCCTTATTTATGGCGAATGCCAACAAAATTCTGTGAGGACGAAAAACTTTTACGCCGAACGATATCCTCGTCGGTCTCACCCTTCGCGAAAAACTTTTAAAAATTTATGTGAAAAATTTAGGTAAACCGGTAGTTTAAGTGTTCATAAAAGTGAACACCGGAAACGAGCGATTAACGAGGAAATGAAAATTGGCGTGCTCGCAAGTGTTGCAAGAAATTCTCATGTGAGTTCGCGACAAATTGAATGCGAATTTAACATTAGTAGGAGGAGCGTACTTCGCATTTTGCACAATCAAATTTCATACCTATCATATTAGCCTTCATCAAGAATTGCATGGGAATGACTTCATAAATCGCGTTGAGTTTTGTCGATGGGCCCAACGTCATATTCAAAACAATGAATCTTTTCTTAATACCGTTTTATTTACTAACGAAGCAACATTCACAAATCACGGGAATGTTAACAGGCGTAACATGCATTTATGGGCAGTGGACAATCCACATTGGCTACGAAAGGCTATAAGATTATTGGCCCTTATTTTATCAATGGGAATTTGAATGGCAACACGTATGCTAATTTTATTGAGGATACGTTGGGTCTTCTGCTAGAAGAGTTACCGTTACTTAAACGACAAACCATGTGGTTTCAACATGATGGATGTCCAGCACATTATTCATTGATTGCGTGAAGGGAACTCAAAAGAATATTTCGAAATCGTTGGATTGGACGCGGCGGTACAGTATCATGACCACCTCGTTCACCAGACTTAACGCCTTTAGATTTTTTGTGTGGGGAACACTGAAAGAGAAAGTGTACAAAGAAGTACCAACTACACCTTACGACATGCAACAGCGAATTATTGCAGCCTGTGCGTCAATAAGTTCAAATACTCTACAACTTACAAGTGAATCGATCGTAAAAAGAATCCAATGTTGTATTGACAGTGATGGTCATCATTCCGAACACCTACAATAGCAGCATGATTTATCTATTACAAAAATCGTAAGTATTATCGCCTTTTTCAGTTTTATATGACCTTCAATGTCCTTGTGTTATAGGTCGTTGAAATCGTTTTAAGATTCTCTATCATGATACGGAAGCAAAAATATACCGATCCATTTAAAAAAATGGCGGTGACCTTCAAATGTCCGAAGTACCTCCACCTGCTGAAAAACTATTATCACCACTGAACGGCCCCCTTCGTACTGTGCAATTTTGTTCGAAGAAATATTTTTGTAAAACTTATAGTTTAGAAAATATTTGAGGTGGTAATAGTTATTGCCCCACNACATTATTCTCCCTTTCTTCCGCAATACACTGCATTTAAAATTTTGTCATATCATTCTCAGTTTGGTTTTTATGAGGTTTTTCCCAAACCTTAGTAAATTCTTCCGGTTATTTTCGCATAGGTACCCGTTTTTCGTTCGGTACTAAAAGGATTAAACGGTACAAATTATTTTTAACGTTTGCTCACAGATGGAAAAAGAAACATTAGAGCAGAAATTGTTAGAAGCAGAAGCAGACGTGAAGTTGTGGAAAAGAGAGGTAACTGCTGCTTTGGAGGCTAGAGAGAAGGAATTGTTAGCAAGAATCGAGAGAGCTAAGCGGCGAAAAGCTGCTAAGCTCAAACTGAAATACGACGACCTGAGGAATAAAATAGACGGTTTGTCTCTCGTCACGGACAAGCTTATAAATACAATGGAATCAGAAACTGTAGATAGTGATCCATTAAGTTTGTTGGCCGCTACGGACATCGTGTCAGCTGAGGTATTTCAAATAAAATATTTATAGTAGAATCTCCATTATATGAACTAAATGGGGAACAAATAAGTTCATATAAGAGAATTTTCAAGTAACAGTGGTTTATGTAATAGAACGTTTACATAATTGGTATTCATATAACAGATGTCCTACGGAACCAAACTGCAGATGTTTATGAAAAATAAAACATTTAGTTGATTAGAAAAATGCGTTTCAAATGGACATTTCCTTTATCATTTAAACATTGCAATATGCATTCACTTTTTCATATATCTTCATATATTTCTATGTTCCACACACTTTTGTAAAAATGTATTATACAGGGTGTCCCAGAACTAGTGTTAGGCCTTGAAATCGGGAGGAGCCATGGTGATTTGAAATAACTTTTTCCTTTGCAAAAATGTTGTCCAAGACGTGGTTGACGAGTTATTAACAAAAAACCGGAACCAATCAGAGCGCTTGTATAGAAGGCAGGCAAGAGCGCGATAATTGCCTACGTATACGAAAGCTCTGGTTGGTCGGTAATTTTTGTTAATAACTCGACAACCACGCCTCGGACAATTTTTTTGTAAAGGAAAAAGTAGTTTAGAATCACCATGGCTCCTCCCCATTTCAAAGCCTAACACTAGTTTTGGGACACCCTGTATAAAATCTGCGGTCTAGTCATTACGCTTTAACGTTTAGATAACTGAAATATCAGCTCAAGAATTTATGATACGCTTGATATAATCACATTAAACGTGACTTTTTAAACACATTTCAATGTAACCAATGCCGAGAGTCTAAACATTAATATTCTTTTTGTTTATTTATGCTGCTTGCAGGCCTTTAAAATTGATCAAAGTCATCAGGTTTCATCTTCACAAGAAGACAACTCGATCGATGATATTACGGTCTCGTTCGATGATATAGTGGACAGTTTTCTAAACTTTGTAGCGAATTTTGGAGAGGTCGTTGAGTACAATGCAAATCCCATAGGTGGTCGTATTAATTCGATCCAAACGTTCGTCAGACAAACGCCACCGAGTCCAGCAGTTTTGGTGCCGAAAGAAACTATTCCCTCAAACGCATTTCCTGTTACGATTCGATTAAATATAGATACTCACCGATCCGTGAAACCATTGAAGATTATTGGTAACGATGGCGACGTTATGGATAATTTGTGTCGACCTTGGGGAGTTGCTTGTGACCGGGAAGGTTACATAGTTGTTGCAGATAGATCGAACAATCGTGTCCAGATATACAGACAAGATGGTAGTGTCGTGAGAAGGTTCGGCACCCACGGGACAGCTCCAGGCCAATTTGATCGACCTGCTGGTATCGCTGTCGATGCTCGGCGACGCATTGTGGTCGCTGACAAAGATAATCATCGTATACAGGTAATGAAAATGAATATAAGGGTGAATCAGTAAAAAATATCATATATATTAACTTGTTACTTAATGATGTTATCAAAATATGCTGTGCGTGATTTCATTATATAATAGAGATCATTAAACATATATAGGGTGTCCCAAGACTAGTGGTACACATT